ATGCCTGTAATCCCAGCTACTCAGGAGGCTGAGGCAGGAGAATCACTTGAACCTGGAGGCAGAGGTTGCAGTGAGCTGAGAGCGTGCCATTGCACTCCAGCCTGGGCAACAAGAAAAAAATAATAATCATCATCAAATCATAATGGTGACTTTTGGAAAGGGTAGTAGGGAAAGGGGTGTTGAAATGGAATTTTTCCTTTTTATTTTAGACATTTCTATGTTGTTTGGATGTTTTGCCACCGCCAAAATTGTAAAAACCAAGGCAAAGATATCTCTGGCACCAAAATAAAATTGGCTACTGTGCCATAAAAAGGACTGAGTTGCAAAGCCAGTGAGAAAGCTCCTAAGTGCTGACAAACACCCTGTTTGTGCAAACACAGCAGTATCTTTTTGGATACTAGCTCAAAAATCCCTTCAGAATTGTCTATAAAATAGAACTGACCCAATATTATCAACTATCTCATTCTGTCGTATGCATTTTTAATTCAGTTTTTTACATTTTCTACCAGATAAGTAACACTGAACTTTAAATACATACATACACACACACACACACACACACACACACGTACATATAAAATTATTAAATCTTACCATTTAATGAAAAGTATGGTTAAAATACAATTTTTTAAAAGGTTTAGGGATAATAAATGAATTTAAAGTGAGTTATGGCTATTATCCTCCTAATGACAAATGAAAGTCGATTACAAGTATGGTGTCTATATAATTCATCGTCTAAACAAGTACCCTTGTTATGCTAACTGGACATAACAGAGGAACAGCAGGCATAAACTACAGTTGTCCAAGGCATATTGGATGTTATGGTCACAACAGCCAAAACCATGTTCATCCACAAAATGAACAGATCTGGGTCACGTAGTTCGTAAGAGAGTAAGGGGAAAGGGGGCAGTATTTCTACACCGTTGCAGCTTCCAGTGTCTTTTTCTCAAATCACAGATCAGACAGAAAATAGACTTTGCAGGAACGTACATAATTGCCCACACAGCATACGTCAGCTGATGAACTGAAAGCATCAAAGTCAATTTCATTATTTACCAATATTACTCCAACTCGCCTCAACAAACTGCACTGCCAAATTCAAAGAAGGCAGATTTAATATGGAGCTCCTCTCTATCAGATCCTCCCCACTCCCGCTCCTGCCCCATCATGCCACTCCCAACAATTCGGTTTCTATGGGAAAGTCATAACCATTAAAAACAAGCTAGCTCATGCCTGGAAGTAAATAAAAATTAAGGCGTGAACCTTCCTTAATCAATCTTTAGACACAAATAACCAAACGATGCCACTGTGCTTTCTTTTGCAATAGTATTTTCTAATTTCCCAAACAAAACACAAACTCTGCAGAACTTGAGGTTCTTAAAGCAAATGTGCAAAGGAGATTTTTTTTTAATGAATTATATCAGCAGTCACTTCTCTGATCTAATGGTAAATTAAGAAAACTTCTCATTCTTGTTCATACCCTGATAATTCGATTCTACCACATAGAGAGCTATTTGTATGTATCAGTGCTTTGGATTAATCCAATTAGGTAAGCAAGACTTTCAGGGTGAAACATCTCCATAAAAACTACAGTGACACTGTAAAAAAAAAATTCAATAGGTACAAAAGAGCTCTGTTAATAATACTTTCCATAACTAATCCTCATTAAACTTTCTACGTGACAAGTATTATGCAAGGCTTTAGGAATAAAGTAGTGAACAAGAGGAGACTGATCCGGCTTCATGAAGTTTATAGTATATCCTAGTGTCTTTTTCCAAAACTAAAGTGAATCTCTGTATAAAACTGTAATATAAACATAAATGGTTGTCCAAACTTTATATAAATTATAATATCATGTTTAAAACTACCAACTTCAGTAAATGCTATCACCTCTTTTTTTTTTTTTTTTTTTTGAGACGCAGTCTTACTCTGTCTCCCAGGCTGGAGTGGTGCAATATCTGTTCACTGAAACCTCCGCCTTCAAGCAATTCTCCCACCTCAGCCTTCCAAGCAACTGGGATGATGGGCAGGCACCACCACAACCAGCTAGTGTTTGTATTTTTAGTGGAGACAGGGTTTTACCATGTTGGCCAGGCTGGTCTCTAACTCCTGACTTCAGGCGATCCACCCACCTTGGTGACCCAAAGTGCTGGAATTATAGGTGGGAGCCACCACACCTCGCCACAAAATGCTATTATCTTTAATTTGGCTTTTATGAATTTTCATAAACTAAAAGCTTTATCAGGCCATGTGTCTAAAACCAAACCATAAAAAGGTACCATAAAAGAAAATTTTTATGACTACCTAATCAGTTAAGATTCCATATCTATCAGCTGTTGATATTTATAAATATACACAAATGGGTAGATCTTTCAACACAGAACATTTTTTTCCAAGTCAAAAGTCAGAATTAAATGTTAGATTAAAAAAATGAAGAAACCCTTGTATCACATTTTGTCGTTTCAGTTCTTAAGGACAGAGTGTCTAAAGTATCAAAAGTGAAATTTACGATTTTATTAGAATTATTTTTTTCTAATGTTGTATTTCATTGTTTTGTTAAGTTCAAAGCTCTGATTCAACATTTATAGAACAGGCCTTAGGCAAAGTATGAATTCCAAAGATAACCATGATAATAATTCCATTCCCACATACTTTTCTACGATATGACCTTACTATTTCCCATCAAGAGGTGACATCTAACAACCCTTCCCTTGAATCTGGACTGACTTCCGTGACTTGCTTGACCAATAAAATATAGTGGAAGTGACCTTCTGAGACTCAAGGTTTATAAGAAGCCACGTGGCGTACACTTGGGTCTCCTGGAGCACTGGCTCTTAGGATGCTCCCTCTGGGAACCCAGCCACCATTCTGTGAGAAACTCAAGCCACAAGCAGAGGCCTTGGGTAAGAGTTTCAACTGATAGCCCAGGTGAGATCCCAAGCAATGGCCAATCATCACTGCTCGCCATACTAAGCATCCATCCCAGTGAAGCCTTCAGATGACCCTGGTCCCAGCCACCATCTAACTACAACTTCATGAGAGACCCCAGGCAAGCCATTAACCCACGTAACTTTGAGATATAATAAATTGCTCTTTTAAGCTAAGTGTTTGGATGGTTACTACTGAGTTGTATAGTAAGGGACAACCAGAATAGCCTCCAACAAATGCTGACAGCTGGTAGGTTTGAATAGTACTAACTCATATTATTTAGAATTGTTTGCGTCTTCTTTTAATCTTTGCTTAAACATAATTGAAGCATAATATGTACTTAAATAAATTTACTTCAAGTTTATAAAGCCCAAATTAAGTCAGGCTAACAAAATCTACCCATGAATCTCATCTCTGGGTCACTTCTCCAAAGCGCCCTGCTCTCTCTGACCTCCAGTCCCTCTCTAGGACTCTCCCGCCCTGCTGTTCTTAGTCAATGCCTACTCCTCCTACACATCAGAGCTTACCCATCTCTTAAGCTGAGGAACACAGGCCCTTGACAGCTCCTCACATCAAGCTGTGCCTGGAATGTTAGGTATTCCAGCTGCAAACTCAAATAGTGAACTAAATTTGTCAGATAATCATTGTAACACTAGAAGTTAACACTTAGGGAGTGCCTGCTTGGTATTAGATGCTGCGCTAAGAACCTTACAAGTAGACAATCTGACTCCAGAGTCTGTGCTCTTCACCACCACATGATAAAGCTTTGGCATTTAATACCTTTCGTCTGTTAGGTTGGTTTGTGGAGTTCTTTTCCATAACTATTTATTTCCCCATCTTGAGGGCTGCTGAAGGCAGGGCCCAGGGTTACATAGCTCATCCTTGGCATGCTACTCCTTAACCATGCCCTCTGGCCCATAACACACTCTCAACTGAAATTTGAGAAAATGAAAATAAGAATTATTTAGGAACTGCTGTTGCTCTCCAGTGACTGAAGTTAGAACACTGTCATTGTGAATGGGGCCTAGAATTGTGCCTTCAACACGGCCGATGCTCAAAAAAGGGTCACTGAGCTGAATACTAAAAATACCACTTTTCGCTGCTGTACAATTAATATTTAGAATAACTCATTTTCCTTATAAATCTCTATTTATCACCAAGTTCTGTGTATCTTCCACTGAGTTTGCTAAGTGGAAAACGTACATGCTTTCATAAAATGTAGTTAATAGAACTATAATAAAACCATGATAAGGGAGGAAAACGCACAGTAAGTAGTGCTGGGAGGAACAGAGGATGTGAGAAGAGACGGATGGCAATAAACACAAATAAAATATTTTGTAAAAATACACGATAATAGAAAATCTTCACAAGCACTTAGAAGAGTCTACCAAAGGTTTCCATCACCTACCTTTTTAAAGGGTGGGCAAATCCTCCTCTCTCTCAAAAAGCTTCTTAAAACCCCATTTTGGTATTTTAAAACTTTTTGTAAGACACATCCTCTCTTTTCCTTATCTTGAGATGGGAAAAGAAAAAGATAGGGGTCAGGGACAGGGACAAGAACAGGAAAAGGAGAATTCTCTCTCACTTTTCCCAGTTTTCCACCTAAAAATATCTATTTCTTTTATCATTTGACAAATGACCATCACACAAATCACACTATTGTAAGATGTCACAGAAGAGCAACATTTCTTAAGGTTAATTTCCAAAGTTAGGGTGTAAGGCCAAAACTGTAGTTAATCTATGTTCTTTGATTAGGGATTTACCTATTGGAGAACTCATGAACCATCTCTCAAATATGTCCAATACAGCCAACTTCTCCTCAATTATTAAAGCAAAACTGTTACTTTAAGCACCAGTTGAAGAAGCTGGCTTGCATACAAGACCATGTTAGATAAAATACACGTACTCTGAGCAAGGATGGCCCTCAGCACAGTGAGGTATTGACGCTATGAGAAAAGTGGGAATTGTAATTGTTAGACAACACATATAAGCTCACTAAATGGATTGGCAGGCACAAGTTTTTAGGGAAAAAACCTGAGGCAGCTGGAAAAAAATACAGTTAAATTCAGTAGGTTAAACATGTATATGATACAGCTCAATTCTACAGACAGGGGATCAAAGAAAACTAAAAGCAATTTTGTATTCCTGCAATTCTCTTTTCCAAGAACAAGGAAATTTCAAATTTCTTTGAATGATCCACAGTAAGTTTCCAACAATGTCACCATATTATTTATAAATGTCTATTTATATGTATATTGTTGCATAGTTATGAGAGATCCACAGCTTAATATTAGGCTCCAGTCACCAGTTAGTGAGATTACCTGAAAAGGTATTTCCGTTATAGATAAGGAGGAAGCCAAGAATATTTAATGCTACTGTTGGAAAAAGGAGTCAAGATTTGTGACATCTGTGCTATATAAAACTTCTGAAAAGTCTCTCATTTCAAATATCTCTGTATCTCAGTTGGAAAGTACTTTTTAGTATCATGAAAACCATATGCTGAGAAGTGACAGGAAAGTTTTACATTCTTAAGGAAATTACTGTTACTGTCACTGAAAAGGCAGTAAATTTAAATTCTAACTCCTGCATATATTACTAAATTAATCAGTAATTTTTAGACCAATCACCTTTTCTTTTTTTTTTTTTTTTTCCCATTTATTTTGTTGCATTTTAGGTTTTGGGGTACATGTGAAGAACATGCAAAATTATTGCATAGGTACACACGTGGCAGTGTGATTTGCTGCCTTCCTCCCCATCACCTACATCTGGCATTTCTCCCCTTTTTTTTTTTTTTTTTTTTCTTTTTTTTTTCTTCAATCACGTTTTCAAAATGAGGATATCACCTCTTCATTATCCCTCTCCCAGGGCCTAACAAAATCACAGGGTATTTGCCTAAAAGTACTGCAAATATAAAAGAAAAATGACAAAAACAGAAATTATCAATAGCAACAATAATAAAAAACATAGTTAACAAACATGTTTGCATGGTTAACCTCTAATCACCTATGAAGTAAGGCTGAAAAAGTACAAGGACCCTAGCAATAGGGTTCTAAGTAGGGACACTTCTTGGTATTCAGGACAGAAAAACTCTTCATAGTGGAAGACTATCTGGCATGTTGCATCCCCGATCCCTGCTAGTTACTACTGATCAACATGAATAGAAACCAACCCGTCATGGGACACCTGAAACCATTCCTAACGGAGCAATACCACCCAAGTTGAAAACCACTGCCAAACAAAAGCAGCATTGTGATACAGTAGAAAAAGGATTTGAAGCTTCCACAGACCTCATCGGTAAAAGGGGAGGTGTCTAATACCTCCTTAACAGAATGTTAATACCAAACTCCTAGACTCATGCCAGGGATTTAGAGACTCTAAACAATTTTAGTTCTTGAAAGCACAAAAATGTCTTATTCTTTCTCATTACTTTTACAACTGTGGCTTTCAAAGCTATTTTCGAGTGATTTGAACTTTACATCTTCGTCTATAATGCTATGAAAAAAGCTTTACTATGGCTTACCATTCAAAGACATATGTATGTCTATGCTGGAGGAAGGGGGAGTATGTGCATGCATAGCTTTGATAGGTCTTAGTATACCAGGACCTAGCAGGCATGCAGGAGCTGAAAGACATGGGAACTCAAATCTTTGCTGAATGAACTAAATATTTTTAGAAATTAACAGATAATAAACCATTCCTTGAATATTGAATAGATCCTTATTTAGATGCCTTTCATAAGTGTGAAAGCATTTCAGAGACTGTAAGAAAATTCTAATTTAAAAATACAGAAGAAATCAGAACAGAAATAATGCAATCCTTATATATGAACATATTCAAAATGCAAATTTGATTTGTAACACACACAGCATAAAACATAATCCACACAACACATAAAAAGGGGTAAATTATAGAGTACAAATATAAAATTCTTCCCTTAGTGTTAAGCTTACTAAGTAGGCATTTCTTATGAGATAATGGAACATGAATATAGATAAATACACACAGTGATGTTGACTATTTAACAAACATGTTCATGTAAGTCCCAAAGGACTTCACTAGAAAAGGAGGTAAACAGAACTACATATGGAACCAAACAATGAGGATTAAATTCAGTACCACAGTATTTTGAGTTTCCCAGACAATGTAACACTAAGGTATATTTCAGTCAAACAAAACACAATGTAACATAATGTACGGGGGAGGCAGGAATCATCAAAAACTTTACTATAAGATTGGTATGGCTTGATTCATAATTTTAACCTTCAAATATAACTGCTCATAGAAGCACTTAAGCACACAGCACAGTGAAGGTAGGAAAAAACATAAAATGGGAGTTAAAGAAATCTGATTTCTAATTTTGCCTCTGTTCACTCTTTTTAGACAAGTCACATTAAAATCTTACATCTTCAGTTTTCCCATCTGCAAAACAAGCTCTACAGTCATTAGAACTCTACAGTTCTCATTCTATAAAATATATGGTGTTTTTAAGACTTAGTAAAATAAAAATGTTAAAACCACTGTCTAGGCAAGTAAAGACAGAAAAACCAGCTCCCATTGGATCCCGTTCCCTACAGCCTTGTCAACGACTTGGCTCCTGTTGTTATCCTGATTCTGTCCTGAATCATCATCTCAATTTCCCCCTCACAGTGCATCATTCTCTTCCAGATACACAGATGCTCTAATCTCATCCATCCTTTAAGAAAGGAAGTTCCCAAACAACCAGTGAAAGAAAAATCCCACTGAAATAGCAGCAAAAAGGACAAAATACCTCATAAGAAACATGACAAAAAATGTACAAGACTTTTAAGAGGAAAACTTAAAAAACACTACTGAAGGTTATAAACAAAAAGATATGCTATGTTCTTGGATAGGAAGATTTAATATCATAAAGACATTAATTTGTTAATTTAAAACTAAGCCAATTTAAAAAGAAGGTTTTATTTTTAGAACAGTCAACTCTATCTGAAAGTTTATCTAGGGAGAGCAGGGAGGGGCAAGAGTATCTAAAAAAACTTCAGAAAAAATTAAAAATGAAGACCATGTTCTGACAAATGTTAAAACATATTAATAATTAAAACCATGTGATAGCAGAATGTGTAAACATATACCAATAAATCAAAATGGAAAATAGATTCAAATACATATACAAATATAATATGTAAAAGAAGTATTTCAAATCAGAAGGAAAAAAGATGGACTATTCAGAAATTGGTGTTGGGATATTTGGTAGCCAAATAGAAAAGAATACAGTTAGAACCACGCTCCATACTGCCTAACAGGATAAATTCCAAATAGATCAAAGACTTGAATATAAAAAATAAAACCATACAGAGACTGTGGGGACAGTCTGGTGGCTTCTAACAAAGATAAACAGTCTTACCATATGGTCCAGCAATCATATCCTCACATATTTACCCAACTGAACTGAAAACTACGTCAACAAAGAGCCTGCAAATTAATGTTTATAGCAGCTTTATTAAATATCACCAAAAACTGGGAGCAGTCAAGATGTCCTTCAATAGGTTAATAAACAAACAGTAGAACATCCATATAATGGAAGATTACTCAGCAATAGGAAGAAATGAGCTACTGAGCTACGAAAAGGCACAGAGGAACCTTAAATGCACATTGACAAGTTAAAGATGCCAGTCTGAAAAGGCTATATGGTCTATGACCCCAATTAGACAACATTTGGAAAAAAAGTTGAAAACAGTAAAATGATCAGTGGTTGTTTCAAGTTCAAAGAGAGGAAGGGAAGGAATGAACAGATGGGGCATAGGTCATTTTAAAGTGATAAAACTGTTCTGGATGGTACTGTAATGAGAGATACATGAATTACACAATGGTAGACATACCTCATTATATACACTGTCAAAACCCATTAACCTACACAAAACACAGCGTACCCTGATGTAAATTATGGACTTTAGTTAACAGTAATGTATCAATATTAGTTCATATCTTGTAACAAATATATGCACTAATGAAAAATGTGAATAACTGGAGAAATAGTGCCGGGGCTTGACCTCTGTACTATCTGTTCGATATGCATTATGTTTAGCAATGTACACTCATTCCCCGTGCCTCTTCCAAATCATTCTCCCTCTTTCCTAAAACTGCCCAGCTCTGATCATGTCAGTCTCCTCATGTTGCAGTTCATTCAAAAATCTCAAATGCCCCTTCTGTCAATTATTTTAGCTACTGGCTCATTGCCTCTCACTCCAACATCACTCCTCTCCTAATTCTCGGAGATTTTAATAACAGTGTACGCAATGCTTCCAACACCTTGGCTTTTCAACTTCTATAACATCTTATTAACTCCGATGGACCTTGGAGTCATTAGACCTTGTCACTACCAATCATTGAAAACCCTCTATCATCTTAATTTAAAGCAACCTATATGCCAACCGTCATCTTCTGTTTTTCTAACTCACTCTGATACCCAACTCTGTGCTCATTCAGGGCAACTGGCTTCTGCTCCAGCTACTCTGTAACTTTCAAGTTCTTAGAAGGCATCAAGTTTTCTCTACCTTGCAGCACTCAGCATTCACCTACATGCTACTGCCTCTTTCAGGGATACACTGCTTTGAACTCTGTGTCTTCTCAACAATAAAATTATAGTATAAATGTAACCCCTTCACACCAATCTATCCTTTTATTTTCCATTATAGCACACTGGTTACTAGCTTCTTAGCTATTGACCATCATCCGTTTATCTGTTTATTTCATATCTTCCACCATTACAATGTCAGCACTGTTGATGATAAAGGCTATGCCTGCTTTATTCACCACTGTGTAGCCAAAGCATGATACTCAGTATTCAGTAAGTGTTTGATGAATAAGAGAAAAAACAACTAATGCAAAGGGAATGAAACGAATTAAAGAAATTCTGACATGTTACAAAACTGAAAAAAACATGGAAATCAAGATCATGTTTTAAAAAACAATTCTTTAATTCTGCTGGAACACTTGCCTTATTTTAAGTTATATAAAAGAATCCTAAATATGGTTAGATTCCTCACTTGTAAGCTGGGAAAATCTACAGTACCTGGAACTGCTGTGATGATTAAATAAAATGTTTGTAGGGCACTTTAACAGGGCCTGTCAAGCAATTAGTAGTCAATAAATGACTATTATTCTTATTTATTATTTATTTATTTATTTTGAGACATAGTCTCACTCTGTCACCAGGCTGGAGTGCGGTGGCACGATCTCAGCTCACTACAACTCCACCTTCCAGGTTCAAGCGATTCTCCTGCCTCAGCCTCCCAAGTAGCTGGGACTACAGGCACGTGTCACCATGCCCAGCTAATTTTTGTATATTTAGTAGAGATGGGGCTTCACCATGTTGGCCAGGATGTTCTTAATCTCTTGACCTCATGATTCGCCTGCCTCAGTCTCCCAAAGTGCTGGGATTACAAGCGTGAGCGCCTGCACCTGGCCATGACTATTATTCTTAAAAGAGCACTTAAAAGACTTTGAAAAATAAAGTCCTGTAAAATGAGAATATGATTATAGGGAAAAAAAAAAAAAGACTTGAAAGAGGTCTCTTTTTCCACCTGATGCTGCCCTGTCAACTCTAGGATATCCAGATCAGAGATTATTTTTCCCTTACAAAATCAGGAAATACTCTTTCAACTTCCTACTGAAGGTTGGAAATAGTCACAGTCCAGTCCAGGACAAAACAATTCAAAGCTAAGGAAAAACATTTTTAACAAACTCCTTCCCAAAGGCTTACATTTGTATTTTTCACAAAATATCAGTAATGACTATCATATTATCTAATTCTGTTGGAATAAACCAAAAATTTAGTAGGAAAATATACTCATTAGTCAGGTAAAGAAAAAATTACATGATGCTTTCCACCTTCAGTCAACTATATTTTTAGCTAAAGCTAAGCAAAGACAGCTAACATATAAAATAATAGCAAAAATTAATCTAGAAGTCAATTACAGAACTTTAACTTATTATTGTGGATAATCAGTATCTACCTTTACATCTATGTTTACATATGATAATATAAACAAATCAATCAACACTAACACAGAAAAATTATTTATGTGAAGACATGTTAAAGAAAACTACTATTATCATTGTGAAAGTTCTCTTGATTTCTAAACAAATGAAGGCTGTTCAGCCCATCATATGACCTAATTGGCTGGGCATTCTTCACTAGTTACTCATACACTGGAAACTGCATACTAAAAATCATGTGAATATCTTGAGGCGTCAGAAAAAAATTTCAGAATGTTTGTTAAGGTTTTAGGTTCAGCATAATCAAGTATTTCAAGATAAAAAAAAAAAAAAAAAAACTATAACCTAAATGAAGTAAACAGGGATTACATCTAGTAGGTTTTCTGAAATTGAGATAATTACTAAAAATTATTAATTTTTATTCAATAATTATATATATGTATTAGATATTCTACATAACACCAAAATTGATGTTAAACTAGAAAATAATTTCTAAATTTGTCCAATGCTAATAGACTTAAAAAAATACACTTCTAAGATTGACAGGACACATTAAAAAATTAAGCAATAAATGCAAAAGAGTATATACAATATGCTTACTACATGTAACTGGGGGAAAATGTATTCCCATTTGTGTAAAAGAATAATGGAAAGATACAAAATAAACCGAAGTGGTAACCTACAGAAGATGAGAGCCGCGAAACAGGGATAGGAATTAGACCTGTCAATGTTCATCGTCTTAAACTGTTTTAACTTTTGAGCCATGTGAATATATGTTTATTTTTAAAAGAATACTTTATATAAGCATGTATCATTTCTTTAAATCGACAAACATAAATACATATACATATGTATATGTGTAAAGAACAGAAAATGGGTTTTTCTTTTTTCTTTTTAAGAGAAGGAATTAAAAATTTTTCACACCACCACTGAGAGCCACGTTTCTGGGTCACAATTCTGACTAAATGAAACTTCACAGTAATAGCTCTTTTCTCCCCCTTTAAAACGTAAGAGTATTTTTCAAACTACCATAATTCTAAGGCAGATTACTTTAAACAATTCTACCATATATTACTAGTTACAAATCACTTTGATTTAAAAAATACAAAATTACTGAAAGTGAAATGCTCCTCCTAAAGTTCTTCCACCATCTCTGAATCTGTCCTCTTAGAAAGATCACTGCACTTTATAAAATTTGATTCAGGCTAACACCAAATGGCAGTAATAATTTTTTGTCTAAATCTAGATTGTTGCCCAAATCACAAATCACTTCTGAACTGCATTCCAATCTACAACATCCTTCTACTTCAAAAGTCTCTATCTGAATTTGTCTCTGGGAAACTCATGTCCCCTTTACCCTCTCACCCCACATACATGTTTTAGTCTTCTCTAAAGCACATCAGGTATTTGGAATACCTCAGTGGCGGCCTACAATACTGTTCAACATTCTTATGCTAACATCAACAACCCATATCCAATCACGGCTTCCTACTAAACATAAACCAGATTTCTACAAGTTGTCCACATATACTAATTATAAAATGATTTAAAATATGACAGACAAATTACAAATGGTTAAGAGGAGCTAGAGGGAAGGGGAATGAGTCGTTTAGTGGGCACAGGGCTTCAGTGTGGGATGATGGATAAGTTCTGGAGACACTGGGCATGCCTGCCCAACAATGTGAGGGTACTTAATGCTACCAAACTGAACACTTTAACACAGTTCATTTTATTTTATATATATTACCACAAAAATAAAAACAAATGACATATTAGGAATGCCACCATAAGTATTCCATAGTTTAGTGCTCATCTGAAAGAAACCTAACAATTTGCTATTACTAAGTTGATCTGTGAATATATAACCCAATTCTGTAAATGCTTATGCATTAGGTATGTAGGCACAGTGCCTAGGACTCACAATAATTTTAGAAGTACACAAAAATGTTTTAGTTTCTTTTAAAATAAGAAGAAAAAAATGAGCTTTTGCTTCAGAGGAAATGTTTTAATACATAATTCTAACATATTTTTCCTTAAAACAATGTAGTTATAAGATATTTTTAATTTTTTTAACAGAAAGAGGGACCCAAGAAGGCAAAAGTGCCCAGGGCCCATGATAGTCCTATATGACCCATACGTTTACCATTTCCTAATATGAGACTATCAAGGGAGAACAAGAAAGTAAAAACACAACTGGACATGTGTGTAAAACAGTATTCTCGAAAGAAACTGCATATATGAGCAATTACTGAAGACCTGACATTTTTTAAAAACCTCAATAATATTAGAATGGTATCTCAATTATTATTTAATCCTTTTCAAACAACTCTTTATTAACAAGAGGTATAACAAGCTATATCCCATTTATTCCTACAATAAATGCTTGAAGATTAACGTAATGGGATTTAAAAGAACCAGAGAGCAAAAACTATTAAGGGAGTCAAAACTAAGTGAATAAGTGGGAAGACAAAGAAGAAGGAGAGAGGAAGAAGAAAAGGAAAAAACACTGACTAAAGGAACAAACAGAGCCACCTTCATTATCGAATTTACTGAAGCTGAAAATACCTCCTAAGTAAATTCATAGACTTAGTATAATGTCAATTAAAATCCCCAATTGTCAATTCAAATATTAAGGAATATACTGAAAGAAAGTATATAGTTTAAAAATAAATTTGAAAAACTTAAAAAAAAAAAAAAAAAAAAAGAGGTTGTTTCTCACCCTACTGATACTGGATAAAAACAAAAAGCAGCCAAATGAAAAATATTTTTTATAGCTTCAAAGGAATCTAGAGAAATAAATGAATAAATAAATAAAAAGTTAAAATTTAAAAAAAAGAAAAATATTTTTTAAAGCTATAAATTAGTAAATTTCAACTACAAAAGGAAATAAAATAGGGAAAATAATAAACTTTTCTGGTATAATAATATTAACATAAAAAAACAAACTGATCTCTACAGCTTTGTTATACATGATACAGAATTTCAGATGCATTACAAATTGATTTTTTAACTGCAAAAACATGGAATATTTCTAGTTGTAAAAGAGGGTTTGCCTTTTGACAACCTTAAGCAACTGGTCCAATTATTATAGAAAGTATCTACAAAATGAAAAATGCCAAAATAAAGATAAAAAGGAAACCAACAGAGTGAAGAGAAAGAGGATGGGCTTTGCAGCTGTAATGCTAAATAAAACTTTTATCTCCAAAATACACATGAAATGGTCTAGGTTGGTACCCAGTCTTCAACAGAAACTGTCACAAAATATGACTTCAATCAGAAAAGGGCCGAGTTGAACTCATTCAGCCATGTGCCAGGTACTGTTATAAACACTTGATAAAACTAATCTCATAGTCACAGCAACTGCCCTATGAAGATGATACTATTACTATTCTTAGGTGGAAAACTGGAAAAGTTAAGGCCCAGAAAGATAAGATACTTACCCAGTATGACACAGCTAAATGGCTAGAGCCAATATTTGAACCCAGGCAATCTCTCTCCAGAGTACATGATCTCTACTACTAAGCTATTTGCTTCTTTCCCATGCAGAACAAAAGCAAATCTACTAGAGTTACTATATCTAAGAAACTTAAGTTCATTAGATATAAGTTACTAAAATGCAGGAAAAAACACAAATAAGAATAGTTTTGATAGAGTGCTTTAAAGATGCAGCAGATCATATCATTGTCAGTAAAGGGGATAAGGAAACGCTTTATGGAAGAAGTGATATCTACATTGGTCTTAAAGGATATGAGACACAGAGATGGGAAATGAAAGAGGAAAACACTCCATCCTCAAGAAACAGAAGGATCAAAAGCATCAAATTAAGGTAGAAAAGCACTGGAACTCAAATAGTTGAAATGAATATTATACAGGAGGGAAAAAAATGAAAATGAATGATTCAAAAGACTAAGGAGTTTAAACTGAACTCAGTATAGAAGATAAGGGAGTAACATGAACACAGCTGTTATATGGCAACTGGATATAAGAATTAGAAAAGAGATGGAAATGAAAAAAAATGCCAGGGGGTTAATTTCCTAGCCTAGGCAAGGCAAGGAATGTCCAAAGTAGGGTAAATAAAAATGGAGAAAAGGGAACATGATATGAAACACATAGCAGTTAAAAATTTTCAATTAAATTAGTGAACCAGGTCACAATATGCTAAAATGTAAACACAACAAAGGGGATGGATGGGACCACATTTAGGAGGAATCTTTGGGAACCTCATGGGAGAGGACATTATGGGCCAAGAGAAGCTAGTGTGGACGGTAGACAGCCCCTGAAGAAAACTGCCTCTGCACCATTTTGGCCATGCTCAAAAACCTGAGTAAGCAGACTTTAAAACGTCAACATTTTGAGAGAGATTATGAAGGTAAATGGACAGAATTAAATAATAAACAGGGAGGTGACAAGTTTTAAGTGCAATGAAAGAATCATCTTGTCATTAATAGAAATGGAAAAACTGAGGGAAAGTCGGTTTAAAGCAAAAAGAGACAGGAGTTCTGGTTTCTCATGGTGAGATGAAGTCTTATACAGAACATCCAGAAATAATGCACTGTCCACAAGACTAGTGCTTGAGAAAGAAGAGCTGAAAATACAAATGCCATCCACACAAAGACAGCTGGAAGTTGTGTGACCAAAAGAAAAAAATCCTAGAAAAAAATGAATCAGGGAAAGTTTTAGGAACATCTTTATTTAGGGGCGAAGGAAGAAGAGGCAAAGAAGACACTGGCAAAGTCTCAATATTACCCCTGTAAAAGTCAAGTATAATGCAGCAGTGCTTCCTAATCTTTTTCACATGAAAGTGCACAAATAAAACAATACCATTTGTGTGACACAAAGCAGTAAACGAAACTGCTAATGCTAAATGCTGTTAGCCTGGGAACTGAAGCAATCACTCATATCCACACCAAGTAATCCAATTATTGTACTTTTTAGAAAGCTCTGTAATATATGCCAAAAAGTTTAAGATTCTACTCCTTTAATCTTTCAGTAGAAAGAAAAAAATTCTTTCAATTCCATCTAAGTGATTAATTAGGTGGAATGTTGCAAAACTGACAAAGGAGAAAAGAACTCAGAAATAACCATGAATCTTGGTAACTGGGAGATCACTAATGACTCTAAAATCAGTGGAAAAAACTAGATTCCAGAAGAAAATATGAAGGAGGGTGATTACAGCATCAACTTTTTACCAGTCATGTTTGATACCCTAACTGGTTAAAAGGTATATAACCTAAATCAGATGATTCTTCAAATTTTTCTAATAAAAATATTCTCTTTATAAACTAAATTTAATGGCAACATATTTTACCTCCTGATCCTTCTTTTTTAAGAGATGGGGTCTCACTATGTTGCCCAGACTGGAGTACACTGGCTATTCATGGGTGTAATCATCACATGCTGCAGCCTCCAACTCCTGGGCTCGAGCAATCCTCCCACCTCATCCTACCAAGGGGCTGGGACTACAGGTGCAAGCCACTGCACATGCCCCTTCATGTTTTTCAAAAAGGAAGAATAAAAATCCTTTGAAACGCTGAATACTTACCCAGTGCGAGACTGACCAACTTTATCACAGATATCCAAAATGAGGCCCCAGTCCTCAGCAGTATTCATCTCGCTGGTTGCTTTCTCTGTAGATTGTAAAGGGAGTTGCAGAAACATTATTTTTAAAATCTTTAAAAGATATATAATCACCTTTAAATCACAAAACTATAGTATCGTCAAGTCTTAACAACAAATCAGAACAGTTGCCAGCATTCTAGTTATTTTCATGTCTACCTTTAAAAGGAGAGACATACCCTCATTATCTCTTGCAATTATTTTCCCTATTCACAATTCAGTTGCTTCTTAGAATAAAATATAAGGCATTGATTTTTCCTTTATAAAAAAGTTATATATAGGTCTACCATCATCTGCAAAAAGAAAGACTAAAATAAATATTATTTTCATTATCAAAAGATTATTTACTTGCTAGTAAATATAAAAATGTTTCAGGTAATTAAGTTAATCATTTAGCTAGTTTTGTTGATGTGTTTTTTTGATAATTTGGAGAGGGGACTGAAGGAAAGAAAACCAAGTTTTGACTGAATGTATCTGCTTAAATAAAAACGTATTCATTTAAGTGTTCAGAGAAAATAATTGCCTGTTATTTATCTTGTAACCTAAGAAATTATTCTTCAAAAGTGAAGAATAAAGACTTTCTCAAACAAAAATTGAGAGAATCTACTGCAATACACCTGCCTAGCAAGAAATGTTAAAAGAAATTCTTCATAAAGAAGAAAAATGATGTAAGTCAGAATCTTGGATCTACATAAAGAAAAAAACAGCATTAAAGGCCAGGCACAGTGGCTCATGCCTGTCATCCCAGCATTTTGGGAGGACGAGGTAGGAGGATCACTTGAAGATGGGAGTTGGAGACCAGTTTGGGCAAAAGAGTAAGACGTCATCTTTAAAAAAAAATAATTAGCTGGGCCTGGTGGCATTTACCTGTATTCCCAGCTACTGAGGAGGCTGAAGTGGGGGGATCACTCACTCGAGCCCAAGAGATTGAGGCTGAAGTGACCTATGATCGTGCCACTGCAGTCCAGCTTAGGTGACAGAACAAGAGAAAGAGAAGGGAAGAAAAGAGAAGAGAAGGGGAAGGGGAAAGGAAAGGGGAAGGGAATAGAGATAGAATACCTGAAGGCAAAAATAACTTTTATTTTTCTTTTAATCTAACAGAAAATACTTTAGTCAAAATAACAGCAACAATGTATTCATTACATATGATTTTATATATATTATGATACTCTCATATATGCTTCCATGTAAGTAGAATGAATGACAGCAATGATGCAAGGGATGGGAGGAATTAAAAATATTCTAATTTACTATAAGATATTTGCACTAGCCATGAAGTGGTACAATGTTACCTCAAAGCAGACTTGGGATTAGTTGTGAATGTATATTGAAAACTCTTGGGCAATTACTAAAATAAAAAAGTTTTTTAAAAAGTATAACGGATACACTAAGAAAGGAGATAAAATGGATTTATGTAAACTGCTTAATGAAAATCACAAAAGCCAAAAAAAGGAGTAAAACAGAAAATGGGAACAAAGAACAAGAGCAATGAATAGAAAATACTAACAAATATGGTAGATATTAACACAAGTATTTACCAGTCACTTTACATGTCCATGGTCTACATACTATTGTCAGAGTCAATCAAAAAACAACACCCAGCTATATGCTGTCTATAAGAAACCCACTTTAGACATGAAGACACATAGAGATTAAAAGTAAAAGGATGAGGCCAGGCACAGTGGCTTATGTCTGTAATCCCAGCACTTTGGGAGGCTGTTGTGGGCAGATCACTTGAGCCCAGGAGTTTGAGACCAGCCTGGGCAACATGACAAAACCCTGTCTCTGCAAAAAAAAAAAAAAAATACAACAATTAGCTGAGCACACTCAGGAGGCTGAGATAGGAGGATCCCTCAAACCCAGGAGGTGGAGGTTGTAGTGAGCCAAGACTGCACCACTGCACTCCAGCCTGGGTGACAGAGACCCTGTCTGAAACAAACAAACAAAAAAGTAAAAAAATGGAGAAAGATATATCATGCTAAAATTTGTAAAATGAAAAAGCTATATTATTTTCAGATAGATTAGATTTCAGAGCAACTAAAGTTATCAGAGATAAAGAAGAACATTACATAGTAAGGGGTCAATTCTCCAGAAAAACATAATAATCTTTAATGAGCATGTGCCTAACAAAAGAATGCCAAAATACAGGAGGCAAAAATTTATAAAACTGCAAGGAGAAATAGAAAAGCCATTATTATACATGGACACTTCAACATGCCACCATCAGAAATGGACAGGTCAGGTAAGCGGATAATCAGTAAGGACATACTTGAACTCAACACTACCATCAACCAACTGTATATAATAGACAATTGACATCTATGGACTGCTTCATCCAAAAACAACAGAATACCCATTCTTCTCAAGCTCACATGCAGCATTCACCAAGACAGACCACCTTCTGGGCCATAAAACAAACCAAGACAAATCTTAAAAAATAGAAATCACAAAATTATTACAATGGAATCAACTAGTAATCAGTAACAGAAAGATAGCTGAAAAACCCCAAAATATACTGAGATTAACACATTCTTCCAAGTACACTCTCTTCCAAGTGTACTCACTTTCCTTTCTTTCCTGCTGTAAAGCTTTTTAAATAAATTTCCACGTCTGCTCTGAAACTTGCCTCAATCTCTTTCTGTCTTATGCCCCTCAATTGAATTCTTTCTTCTGAGGAGGCAAGAATTGAGGTTGCTGCAGACCCTTACAGACTTGCTGCCAGTAACTGGGATATCTTCCACCAGTAACAAAAATATCAGCAAACTGAATCCAACAATGTATAAAAAGAATTACATATGCCATGACCAAGTAAGATTCATCCTAGGTATGCCAGGCTGATTCAACATTCGAACCATTACCCTCCAAGAAATTAGAAGACTCTTTTCTGGGGGACTCCATGTCAGCATAAGAGGAGAGACCTAAAAACAGTAATATTGGGGAGGAGAAGGGAGGAAGCAGAATTCCATAGTCAATGACCCATCAGACCAAACCACAGTGAAGTTAAGTCAATGAGACCTAACCACATGATCAGAACTGCCAATGTGCTTGTGATTTCTCCACTATTAATCATGGGCAAAGAAGCAAGCTATTTGAAAACTATCTTCTAATGTGAAGATTAAAAAGAAAGAAAGAAAAGAAAAAAGCAACTTAAGAGAAAAAGAACATATGTAGGAGGAAAAAAAACTTTTTAAAAATCATTATATTCCAAAATAACCCCTATACAGAAGCAGAGGGTAACCAGTCTTGACTGGAGCACTGCAATTCAAAGAGCAGATGCTGAAAGATAACATCACCAAGATCCTCCATAGCAGTCTCCATTTTTTTAACCAGAGATGGGTGAAGGAAAGGGTACAAATGACTCATACCAAGACTCTTATCTGTAATGGTTAGTCTTGACCATGTGATAATGAAATTCTTGCTCCCATGCTTTCCTCCGTGCCCTGCTGCCTAGATCAACCAAGTATACTTATTTCCTCATTTTGACCTACTCCTAGGCAGGAGATAGGTCATGTGAGTTTAAAAGCGGAAAATAGAAAGCAGCCAACTGACCAAAAAGATGTATTAATACCTACTCTATATCACAGCATCACCTGCTAGTGAGTCATTACTACTGGAGAACTAAAATAAGCATCTAGTAAAAACAAAATGGGTATTGGTTAGGTACAGTACCTAGCTACCCTACAATCTTCTAACCTAGAAGATGGCAAAAGCAGGTTATTCACACAAATTAATTCCTTGCTTAAGAATAAATACAAAGATCCAAAAAGTTCATGATCTCAATAAAGTGATTTATTTGCAGGCAATTATAAAATTTGAACACATATTCAGCAAAATTGAATAAGCTTCCAGTCCATCCCATACCCTACCAGAAGTAGCTTACAATCTAAAAAAGGAAATGAAACCAGCATATAAACTTAAATATAAGCTAGAAAAGGTTTCAAATAATGCAGAGCAAATTGAAAGAAAGGTAAAGAGCCTGGAAAGAAAATGGAGAATAATCAGGTAGGGCTTCCTGATATATTTAGAAAATATGAAGAGAACAGAATAATGAATTCATTTGTTTCTAATTAAGTGAATGAAGTAAAAAGCAAAGTCATGAAAAAAAGAAAAGAAGTACAATGAAGAATCTAGGCTGGCTGAAATAAAAACTACTTTGTGAACGTTTGGAATAATAAGAGAACAGCATGAAGACCTAAAATACTAGCTCAGGTGTTTGTACTGACTCAAGAAACATCATAATGCCAAGAGTTTTAAACAAGGAAATAAAACAATAAGAACTCAACTTTTTTGAAAAACATTAATATATCACCAATATGTAAAAGTGGCTTGGAAAAGAGGAGAACTAGCTCAAATTTACCTATCATTGTTCAAGCTTTTGTAATATATTGTAAGTCCCTTAAAAATAATAACAAGTTTTACTTTGGGGAGTTATTTCATTAACCATGCTCTTAGTCTTAAGTGCTCAAAAAATGCTAAGACTACTCATGTATCTGCGACATGAAGCCACAAAAAGCCATAGTAACACATTGAGCTTAAATAATATTTGGTTTAATGGTTTTCAAACTTAACTTTCAAATGCAGAAACCCTTTACAATGCAGTAACTACCCAGAGGGCCACTGTACTTCTGATGCTAACTACCCAGTCAGCACAGACTTCACAGGTTGAAGGCACAGCTCTCCACAAGACTCCCTTCACTTCAAACCTCGGGCACAAGTGCTAGGGTCCCCAGGCACTTCAGACCAACTGGATACAGAGTTCCCACTATCCTTCACAATTAATTCACTACGGCAACTCACATAACTCAGAAAGCACTGTACTTACAATTAGAGTTTTATCATAAAGGACATAAATCAGGACCAGCCAATAGAGATATACAGTTGTCTCTTGGTACACATGGGGGATTGGTTCCAGAACCTTCCAAGAATACCAAAAAGCATGGACCAAATATCAAATTTGTATGGATGCTCAAGTCCCTAATATAAAATGGCACTATATTTGCATATAGCCTGTGTACATCCTCCCATATACTTTAAATTCTCTAGATTACTTCCAATATCTAATTCAATGTAAATGTTATGTAAGTAATTGTACTGCATAGGGACTAATGACAAGAAAAATGTCTGTATGTATTCAGTACAGACATATGGCATTTTTTCCTCTAAAAGGTTTGATCCACTGTTGTTTGAATCCATGAATGCAGGCCCCTAGATACAAACAACCACGTGTACAGAGCTAGATCTGGGAGGGTCCCAAACAAAGCTTCTGTGCTAGCAAGCTTCATCACCCTCCGAGCACATCAATGTGCATCACCACAACGTGTATCACCTACCAGAATGCTCAATTGAGCTTCAGTGTTCAGAGTTTTTACTGGGGTTTCATTATATAGGTATGATTTATGAAATAACAGACCACATAGTGGAACCCAATCTCTAGGTCCCTATCCTTCCCAGGAGGTCCTATGACTCAAAGCCCAAATCCTTTAATCACATGTTTAGTTCTTTCTGGAGTGGCCAGCCCTCACACTGAGTCATCTTATTAGCATAAGCTTTTATCCTAATATTATCCCAGGGGCCTATCATAAATAACAAAGATGCTCCTATTACTCAGAAAATTCCAAGGATTTAGAGGCTCTCTCCTAGGAAACAAACACTAGTCAAGTTATTTATCATTCAACACTCTATAAGAGAACTTTATCTTCAAAGAAACCCAATATATACAGTAAATCTAAGTGGAAGTGCTCTCATTGAGGAGTTCCAGAGCCCACTCCCTAGGTACTCAACTCCTATAAAGCCCAAGAATATTGAGTGAGTCATTCTGAACAATATCACTTAGCTTAACATTTACTTCATCTTAGAAAAGGAAAGCATGTTATTACTGTGGCCTCTAGTGCATTTTAATAATTAATTCATCATTCTTACTGACTGGTAGCCCAGCAGGCCTTTTTTTTTAAGTGCATTTTTTTAAAAGAAAACACTTAAATTCTAAAACCTGCCACC